ATTATATAGCTCAATTATATATTTTTAATATCTTTTTAAAATAACAATCATCTAAACTTGTAAAATAATCAAAGTACTTTTAAAAATTATGAAATAGATTTTTTCATTCTTTTATTCATAAAGAAATATATATATATATATATTTTTTTTTATACTATGAATTAATAAAAATGACTTTAGTTTCTTCTACAATATAATATTTAATTCAATTTATACTATTCACTTACACAAAATAACAGCTATTCAGTAATTTCAGCAATTTACTGGTCGTCATCCTGTATATACATCGGCATATACATTTTGCCCCGATGTTGAGTATCTGAGCGAAATGTCCTCGTGAGTTAATAACGACTAATAGCGCGGTGGCAAATGAAGCTTGACAGATTCATGTATGCATACTGTACGATGATTTGACAACTCCGTCGCGTGTTCTGCGTGTCTAATGTAAGCATCGGTAAGCTTCAACAGACTCTCGTATGCATCATCGCGTATGCATCGACCACGTGCGTATCATCAGACGGGTCCGAAATAATTCGCGATTTGGTACGTTTATCCCTTGCGGGGAGGTTTCACGTTTCACTGAAATCTATCCATCATAATACTGAAATAGCGTCAATGATGGATAACGCGGAACTATTTAACTATTTAATATCACTTAGCAGATTTTATAAACTCAAGCAGGAGCAAAGCTTCCCGATTCAAACGAAAATAAATAAGGATACTCTATAAACATCCCATATACATGACTACATATATAGGTACATAGGTAAATATACGTGTTTACCCACGTCGTTATCTGGGTCAGTTCAGGTCGTCGAATTTCGGGAGGAAGATCTCTCTAAGCGTTCTCGTTCTGTGAAAGAGGACTCCTCTTCGACTATTTATTGCGTGCGGTAGAGAAACTATCACTTCTGCACTTGTCTGAAATAAAATAGAAATAGAAATAACTAGCACTAGATCAGAAGCAGCCAAGCGAACGAAATCTACGAAATTCCCTCTTATCTTATCTCTTTATCTCTCTTGCCGCTAAGTTAAATTAACCCGAATATTCTACAATAGTAACGGCCTCCAACCATTTAATTGCATAAGTATTTACCAACGCGTTTCGTTGCTGCTGGTCCGCGAGTGAATTTATTCGAGTAGATTTGGTGTAGGAACGTAGATTGCGAATGGAGGGGAAAAAAAAAAAAAGAAGAAATAAAAACATGCGCGAATTAATGTGGTGGAGCACGCGGATATATTAGAGACTATTTGTCCCAGAATACAGGAAAATACTGCACGTTCGTGCGTTATATTCCGTGGCTGGAACAAACGTTCGCGTCGCGTATATTTGACTCCCTGCGTTTATAGGGAAGCACACATTTCGCCGTTAATGGGCAGTCGATTAAACTTCGCCGACGTCCGCTTTCATTTTTCACCGCCACCTTTCATTTTTCTCTCTTTCTCTCTAATGGAGCAGACCCGACGACGACTCCAGGTCAAGTTTGCCAATACGTCATTCTGGAAGTGCATCCGCGGACGTGAATCCGCGACGATTCTTCCATGAAAATCGATATAATCTAACTTTTGCCCGGCGACGATAGTGAATTTTTGAAAGTTAGAAAACGGACCCCGAGAACGCTCGGGAAATCTGGTTTTGACAAATGATCATAGCTTGAGACGTGCTCAATTTGATATACAGAGCAAGAGAAATCTTTTCATGATTTTGCCCCGAAGTTTACAGAACTCACTATCGAGATTAAAAATGCTTGGATCGTGTAGATATCGGAATGAGAGTTTTATATTTATATATGCCCGATTCCACAAACGTAGATTAACTTTAATCTCGGTTCAAATCTCACTTTTTTTCTAGTTCTAAAAATTAGAAAAAGATGAAGAGCAAGTTAAATCGAGATTAAGGTAAATCTACGTTGGTGGAATCGGGCGTTAATGATTCAATTTTTGTTTGAACGATTTGTTAATATATAATCGTATATTCGAAAAGACATGCATCGTTTATTTTTTTTTTTTTTTTTTTTTTTACGATGATTACATTCCAAAGGACAGTAAAATTAAATCTGAAATATTTTAGATTACGGTTAACGCGAACGTAATTAGTGAAATGAAAGAGCGAATAATTAGTGATTTATACGCAAGCGATTGTACATTAAAGCAATTATATCTGTTTATATACATGCTTATTTACATAATCGATAATATTAGAGAAGGAATAATTTAATTGCACGGCGAAATTAATGCGCGAATAAAGTGACAAATTACGTCTAATTATTGTGATATCAGCTTATACGTGCCATGAATTCATTAAAATCCCAAACTTTCTAAGTATTAATTAGAGCTAATATGCGGGATGATCATTCCTAATTGTTCCAAGATATTCTAATGAAATATCTGTTCTTTTAAAATCACAAAGGGACTTCATGCGGAAGCTGAAATTGAAGCTGTTAGCCGCAAAGTATGGGCACGCAGTAAAACCAAAAAAGTGACCAAAATCGTTGAAGTTTTAGAAAAAAAAAAAAAAAAAAAATTACAACTTGCCTTTGGGGAACTTTTAATAGAACACCAGGGAATCGAACCGGAAGAGAAACTTTAGCAGTTTTGCGCAAAAACCGCGCTATTGTAAAAAAGACGACAATTATAGCGTCTTCTCAGGAATAAAGTTTATCATCTGTTAGTGTCTGTAAGAGAGATTTATGTTTATACTACTTGTAACATTATTTTAATGAGTCTGTTTTAAAGTTAATAAGGACAAGACGAAACTGCAAAATGTTAAACCATTTATCTCGCAAATACACATTATATCACCTATGAACAATTTTTATTTATAATTTTTAACAGTTTTGTCGTTATCTTTAAAAAGTCATCTTATAGAATTATCTTAAATGGAAATTAGAAAAAAAAACATTGATTTATTATTAGATGAAAAAAAATATATTTTTTATAATAATCTAAAAAAATTGATTTATTAATTATCAAAGTTTAAATGTATATTTTTGCATAAAAATGGGATGCGAATCGAATTAGTTAGTTTTAGTGACTTTAGTGAAATAATTATTTGAAATTCATACATGCAAAGATGATAAAATCGCAGATTTACGGTTATAGACTGTGTAACGTAATAAAATCTTAATAAAATTTAATAAGAAGAATAATTAAGAACTAATCGACTAATCTTAAAATGTGAATGAATTACAAAATACATGTAGAAAGAAATACGCAAGATGTCACAGATGACATCGCAGATTAAAAATATCACAATTACAGAAACTGATGTGATTACGTGAGGACGTAAGGATCGATCGCGTATATATTTATAGGAAGTAGGGAAAAGTGCCGAATTAAAGAGTCTTACGTAAAGTTCTGTGCGGGGAGAAGAATAAACCGGAAACAAAAAGTTACGAGGGAATCGAACATCTGCGACAAATTACAGAGTGGTATTGCAAGAAGTACGGTCAGATCTTTCTCCCCCTAGAGGGAGAACGCTCATTAAGGAGCCTGAGGGAGCAGGTTGGCAGGCGCGTGACTCGCATGTCTCGCAGGATTAATGCCAATTTAATATATATTCCCATGATCACGATGGGGAAACGTGGCTATTTTTCCCGTTCGTCCGATCTATCGCAGATAGCAGCCGTCGCTGCTGTCGGGTGGCCTCGATGGACGCCTACGCGACGAGAGGAGGAGGGGGAGGGCGAGGAGGAGAAGGGGAAAGGAGGGGGGGTAGGGGGGTGCGTTCTATCTAATAATAAATAAATAATGCGCCACGCGCCATCCGGGGCGCGGCAAATCGGATCAACGAACGGCCGGATGACTCCCTTTTTCGCGA